CTTAAGGTAAAGTACCCAATTGTGGTCCCCTTACCCCAGTTAATGGTCCATATCTGAATTAACCATTAATAAATAATTGTTAATCAAGTTTAAAGCCTGTAAGTTAATAGTAAATCAAAACATAAGGCATTGAGCAAAGAATTAAATAAATTTTCTCCCGATTATCATAAAATTAGCATGTTTTTCAACGTATTTATTATCGTCATATGCAGTGCGTATAGCAAGTCGGTTAAGTTGTGCAGGTGTTAATGCGCTTTTCGTCAACTTTGAAATACAGGTTTAAAATTTTGTATTATGTTTTGTGCAATGTTTTTCATATGAATCGAAAGCTTATAGTTTAAGGATTTGACGTATTACCAATAAAAAATTGAAAAAATAGAATTTCATTAAAAATTTCGATGGTCCATCAAAAGGTGTCCTTATGGTGAATGTACCCCAGTTTTTGGCCTGCAATTAAAACGGTCCATAATTACCGGCCCTTTTGCTATAATAATAATAATAATACCGCCTACCGTTTGCTAGATGACAACTACTAGTTTCTGATGAACATCACAAGTAATAAAGTAGCTTATAGTATATAAGAAGGGCTGCGCGACTTCTTAAAAGCATCCTCCCAGATCACCTGGTCTTAAGCCAAAGCTAGGTTCTCGCTTACCCGACGACACCTACGCTACGGCAGTGGCTAGAGCATTAATTGATTTTAATAACATACCAATGTTTACTACTACATTAAACTCAGTGTGTCAACTCTCTTTCAACCTACTCTCGCCAATTGAGGAAAATTAGGGGAGAGACAGGCTTGAAGAACAAAACACAAATTGAAAGAAAGAAATAACATTTTATGTTCTTATGTATGCAACTGTCAAGCATGAACTGACTTCGGCGCGAACGTCTAGCTAGCGCTAGAAATAGCCATTACACATAAAGAAACAAAAGCAATAAGGAAAAACTAACACTTGTCTTCGGAGTCAACCTTGTTTATAGGCAGTAATGTCTTTAAGGGTCAAGAGAAGATAGTAGACTATCCGTTAGATGAGCCAGAAGACGGGGAAAAAGACTAAGAAAAGATGCGCCGCAATAAAATAATTATGATTCCACGAATGTCGAAGAATTTCATTTACCAAGAATAATTCGCGTAAATCCGGTAAGAGAATGGAAAATTCCAATTTATTTCGAGGATTATTTTACGCATTGAACATAACCTTATATGAAAGTAGGAATCCTTCGTCGGGGGAAGTGTTAGGTGAGAGTTGATGCTTACGTACACATATGAGTGAATGCGAAAGAGTTTGTGTGTACGGGTCTGTGTATTTGTATGGTATAGAGTAGAAGTGTGAGCGGAAAAGGTTGTGAGTGCGAGTATTTAAAGCGAGTGATCAGCATGTCAGTCCGTAGGTAATAGCCAACTATCGCACACATGTAATAAGGAGTATTGAATAAACGGATTGTTAAGCTACATCTCCAGAGTACTTCTTCATTTGATTCCTGACTACAAATACATAACAAGTACCAATATGTCTTTCACTCAAAACAGTACGAAAAATCTTGTAGCTTAAACTGATTACCTTGAGTATCATTAATGTAATTTAATAAAGCTTCCATCGAGAGTTTTTTTTTTAATAGCAGTAGTTTCCTTGTGTAATTACCTGAATTTTGTCGAACAAGATTTACGATGATTTTAAGCTCTTACAAGACTTACATATAATCCTTCCTTTCGCAAACCACATGATTTCTCATGCTAAAATCTCATTTGTACAGATTTTTAATTTTTCTTGCGTTTTTTTAGTATTTCTAATTGTATTATGTGTATTTTGATAAATTTTGTACTTGCATTTTTTTCCGAGAATTTAAACTATTAAAATTTTTTTTTGGAAAAATTGTAAAAAAAAAGTCCAAGTTAAAAAAAAAAGTCTTAAATTGACTTAGGACAGTAAGAAAAAGGTTTAGAAAATAAAAAAAATCACATCATATTTTGGCATGATAAATCACCTGATTTCCGGAAGGAGGGATAGCCTGTTCAACATTTCTTTACACACGTCTGGGTGCAAAATTTTATTGTTTGAAAATGAATGTCACTTTTTACCTTTCTCGATGCTGACAACAGACGACCATTGACTGTGATGCATTTTTTTGGAATAAATGATACAGTGTTTATCAAAGTCAAAGTGTTTTGTTTCATGCTCGTCAGAGTAGTATGATGACTGCGTTAATTTCTTTTTTTTTTTCAATCAAGATCCAGAAATCAAGCTATATTCATTACTTGTAGATTCAGGAAGGTAAGTCTACTTTGTTTTTATGTGTAAATGTTCTAAACTAATTTATTGTTGTAAACTAAGTACAATATCTGGCGATCACTAATTTATCCAAAGTGATATATTGTGCCTAATTTTGTTTAGTGGTGTTGTTTGCGTCAGTGATTTACTCTACATAACTTGGGAAAAAAAAAAGAGTAGACGCACATTTATATAGCTACAAAGAAAAATATAGTTTGATTTTGTCGAGATATATTACAGATTACATTTTATTAGTTTAAAATATAATTTTTAACTTTTTGCCTTGAATTCTCAATCAATCTTGCCACATTTAGGCTAGATTTATTGTTTGAAGTGCCAAAAAATGTGCTTTCACTCTTATTTTTTTGATAAAATAGCTTTCTGTTAAATAAATAATGTTATGATGCTGTACGATTACAGTAACCTTATCGATAAGGTAGGAAACTTCAACTATCTATGGACTACCGTTAATATTAGGAGCTGAAATTTGATTGTAGTGCTGGTATTTTAGCCCTTATAACGCTAATTAAATTTCAACAAGATCTAGCGTATACTTTTTGCAACCGCTAAAAAAGAACCAGTGGACAGTGGGTGCTTGGGTACGCAAGTAAGAAGTTATGCTTCAATAAAATTATATGGCAAATAATATAATTACGAATATAAGGTAAAGTACCCAATTGTGGTCCCCTTACCTCAGTTAATGGTCCATATCTGAAGTAACCGTTAATAAAAAAATTTTCTCCCGATTATCATAAAATTAGCATTTTGTTCAACGTATTTATTATCGTCATATGCAGTGCGTATAGCAAGTCGGTTAAGTTGTGCAGGTGTTAATGCGCTTTTCGTCAACTTTGAAATACAGGTTTAAAATTTTGTATTATGTTTTGTGCAATGTTTTAATATGATCCGAAAGCTTCTAGTTGAAGGATTTGACGTATTACCAATAAAAAATTGAAAAAATAGAATTTCATTAAAAATTTCGATGGTCCATCAAAAGGTGTCCTTATGGTGAATGTACCCCAGTTTTTGGCCTGCAATTAAAACGGTCCATAATTACCGGCCCTTTTGCTCAGTCCCACTGTTCAAGCGAAGTACCCCAATTGTAAGAGTGTATTTTTTTTTTAGTTTGCTGGTTACAATGATTTAATCGTCAGTAAATCAGTTTTAAAGTGCTACTGCAAGTATAATTTACCGTCTCAATCACACAATTGACTCAGTGATGATTGTTGTACGATTACTTAATATAAACAGATTAACATAATCCTACTTATAAAGAAGTTGCTAATGCGTTTAAGTTTTCATTAAATTCAAGCCTTTATTGATGATAAAAGTTCAAAAGATGCATGCACACTTTCAATTTTCCTTACTGTTTTTCACCGAGGTACTTATATTTTCAGACAGAAATGGATTCAAAAGATGTTATCAAAGGCTTTAGAGAAAAAATAAAAGTTATTGCAGAAAAAATAAAAAAAGGAGAAATTATTAAAACTAAAAGAGGTTTGATCGAAGAGAAAAAGAAGATTGAAGATGATAAATTCAGATTTGAAATGAAACTTAAAGATATTCAAAAACAGATTAATGATTTGCAGTACGATATAAAATCTGATAGTTAATTTCCAAATGTATCACGAGAACTTCTTGTAACTGTATACCTAAGTGTTCATTTTTTAAAATTAAATCTAGGTATATTTTGTAACATTACAATTTTACTGTGATATCATAACTTTAATAAATTTTCAATAAAAGGCTATGATATTAAATATAAATTACTAAATCTTCATAAAAAGCTCATAATATACTTGCTCTGCGTAAATAATGCGAAAACACACAGTGGTCCAATAATTGGGGTACGCAAGGTCTTTGCCATGGAATATGCATGGTCCAACAACTGGGGTACTTCGACGTCTAGTCTCAAAAATATATTCTTAAAGGTCATATTTTTAAAAGCTAATTATTAAATAAATGAGCAAAAATTTTAAGTAAATTTTGTAAAGTTTCATTCAAAAGGCATTTACAATAAATTAAACAAATAACTTTTGCATACTATCGGTGTTTTGTGTATGTAATATTTATTATATTGCTGACCTCAACATTTAGGGGACCAAAATTGGGTACCTTACCTTAAGTAAACTTCGTATGAAACGATATTGTATTTAAAGGTGGTACAATCATCGTTGGAACGAGTTTACATACGTTAGTTAGGTGTGGTTTACACAGTAAATAGTACACAATAAATAAAAATTTACAATGAAAATGAAAATTGGAAATAAGTTACGAACTGTAAGATAAATTTTTATTTATTTTTAATTTAAAAAAAAAATTTTTTTTTTTAGAAATTGGTTAAAAGAAAAAAATAAGTAAAATTCAAAATGTGTGGTGTGGTGTGGTGCGATGATGTTGGGTGGTGTAGGGGGACCGCAAGTACGTCAAGAGGGGCGGGGCGAAGGGTGAGAATCAAGCAAAATCCACTTTTCTTACACTTTTTCTCAAGGTCACTAATCTAAAGTCAGGGCAGAACGGGCCTATCGATGTATAACTTTAAAAAATTCCTTCCGAAAAATGTTAATTAAACGTTGTGACCAAACGTAGTCCCATTTTTCAAAAGTACTTTTGTTCCTTCAGAGTTGATCTGTAACATCTGAAAATGCCATTTTATTTAACTATCGGCAAGTATATTAAAAATTGATGGCAAAAAAGTGGACCATGGCGCTCTGCGGCCTTTGTGTACTGGGCTGGGTGGTAAAGTGAATTATTTAGAAATGATAGTTACATTCAAATTATCGCTATCTCGAGAACCCATAAATGGATATAAATTAATTTTTTTAGATCTGGTAGTTCATAATAACAGTAAGATTGTGCATATTTAAGACCTTATAATAATACAAAAAATGGATCAAAAATGGTTATTAAGAATATTTGGAATTGAGGTTTTCTCAACTTCCTGCTGCCTACTTGTAGGTTTGTACCTCTACGTCTCTGACAGAGCGTGTGCTCAGTTGAAGTAAACAAACAACAAAATCAGTATAGTAAGCCTCATATTTTTGATCGCTTGTATACGAGAAAAAAAACTCAAAAAGGCATCGACAGCTTTTTTACCATTGATAAGTTTATGACTAAACTGGAAAGTATACAAGGGGTCACCAAGCAGCCGTTGCCTTATGAATTAACACCAACTATTACTTTACAATTTTCAGCGCTCACACAAAAAGTGATTGCAATTACGAAGATCACTCAGCTGATTTTTTTGTTTGTTTAAATCAATTAAACACGCGGTCAGGTTCTTCAGTAAAGTTGGGGTACCAACCTACGACTTGGCAGTAACTTACGAAAATCTTATTTGTGAATACTCTCATTGCAACTCTCATTAAGTTCTTGTTTATTGTAGTTTTCATTTCCAATCTTACCTGTCATGGTACAACTGTTGGGTGTTAATGAGTTTTGCAGAATTGCATAAACAATTGTTGTCCTTATTCAGATTAGCCAATATAAAAAAAAAAAAAAAGCCTTTTGAAAAATTTTTTTTTAACATGATTTAGGCACGTGCGCAGGAATCTATAATAATTTTTAAGAATCTGGTTACACAAAAAGATAAAAAAATTACTTTTTACTTACTTTCGAAGTACTAACAAACAAAAAATGAGAGTATCAAAAAACTTAACTGATTTAATATTTCCAATAAAAAATTTATAAATTATTTCATAGCAACAGAAGTGACTGACAAAAGGTTTGCTGGAAAAAAGTTTTTCTTAAAATTATTTTTATGCTGTTACTATCAATAAGTATAACAT